CCGGTAAATGATATGGCAACTCCTGCTAAAAAAGGATTTTTTTTTTAAGACTGGGAATCTAGATTGTGATTACTTCTGTTGGTGATTACTAATAAATAAAAACTACAGACAGACCTCCCACTAACAGTTAAGTGTCCTCAAATAGATGCCATACTACTGAATGCAGAAATGTGGTGATCACTGAGTGGTTCCCTTGTGCACTGATGACCTTTTCAGTTGAAAATCAGTATTTTGCTGTTGGGAGAGGGGTGCATAAAGCAGTGATTAAGATAATATGGATCACAGACTGCACCAATTTCTGGGTAAAGGAATGGCCTGTAACTGTTATATCACAATACCATATTCTATTCTTTGGACAACGACATCACAAATTCTGCCACGATAGGATTTTGATTTGATTCAGAGGCCTGCGATATGTATGAGGTGATATCATAAATGTCCATTAACGTGATCAGTTACATTTATATCCGCTCACGAAACGCAACTAAAATGTAATTTAAAAATCTTTTTGCTGAATTCTTCCAGACATTTATTTTATCTCATAACAGCATTGTTTGCAGATAACCACACGATCTTTTTTAAAAAAACATCAAAAACATATTACAAAAAAATACATTAATCTAACATAGTCATAAGAATTACACAATTTACATAAATCAATAAGAAAACTAATATCCATGTCCAGCTGATGAAATGGGATATGCTGATTACCTTAGGACAGATATCCTATACACATGTCCTCGAAAACCTGAGGAATAAATGCAAGAAAAAAATGTGCACTGTGACCAACTAGCACATAGAGCAGCCTGTTCACACCTGTGAGTGCCTCATGTAATTGACTGCACAAACCTGAAGATAGTGAAACACGTTGTTCGCTCCTAATAAATCGCAGCAAAGTCATTCCAGTGCGCAGTGGTTAATTTTCTGTTCTTCATTACTGGTCCACAGCCCGGTGTTTGGGAACACCTGCCTTAGGTAATATATGGGCTCTAAGGAATTACTAGTTATTAAGTGTTTTGCAAAAATAGCACAAAAAATGCCCTGTCTCACTTAAACAAGAGCAGAGCCATGACACAGAGCTTTGGCTCTGACATTGGCCATATTGTTGGGATGGTATTGGACTGAATTGATCGTATAAATGATTGGTTGGTGTCTGTGTGTGATCTGTCTGCAGAGCACTTATGACCGCTGTCCTTTGGAACTGGTGCGCTGCATAAAACACATCCTGCATTCAGAGCAGAGGCTGGTTCAAGAAGCTACAAATGTAAGTGTTGAAGTAGTTGTTGGTGTGTCATCATTTGCAGGAATCCCAGATTGTGGCAGGGTTTCATGGTGTTGGTAGAACCAAAGTGACTGGATGAAAAGAAAGCAACAGCTGTTAAAATCTTATTTGTAGGCCAGCTGTGGGAGTGGGGGGCAGGCCATGGATAGCCTGTCACAGCGCCACCAACAGATCAACCAGGCCTTTGAGGAGCTCCGCCTGGCCACACAGGAGACTGAGAATGAACTGAGAAAGCTGCAGCACAGCCAGGAGTACTTCATCATCCAGTACCAGGAGAACCTGCGCATCCAAGGTAAGGACACACACTCAAATACCCAACATTAAGACCTAGAAAGTTTAATTATACCCCAAACCTATGAGCCTGTTTAGACCTGCTA